TTTTAAAAATGTACGATTTCTATTTGCATTTATGAAAATGATTCGTTAAACATGTTTGTGGTTGTTACAGTCAAAAATATCACTTTCTACTCGTATTTTAAATTTTGTCTGAATGTAGATAAATTGTGCTGATACAGTTTGTCAAAATGAGGAAATAACAGATGAACAGTTTTAAAGGTGAAATATGAGAACAAATCAACCCTGGAGCCCAGAGGGTTAGAGGCTGAAAGTACTGTTTATATTTGTGTGTATTGCTGCAGCTTCTTTGAGTGTTAACTTGGTGCCTTTGGGTGTAATAATGGTAACATGACTGATCCATGTGGTCACTTGTTTCTGTGCTACCAAAGTTCCCCGGCTTTCATTCAAACTGTGTTTATCGTCAGCACCGACACATTAAACTACTTAAACATTATAAATGTCTTCAAGCTCACACTGAGGCCTGTGGGGCTCAATCAGCCGCTCAGACAGTTCAACACATTTATGTGTTTGTACATGAATATTTCATACTTTAAGGCTGCCTGTTTATTTAAGGGAGAAACAAAATACACTGGACTTGTACATAATAATATCACAGATGATAAATAAATAGATTTGAAGTAGATGTTTGTGCGTTCTTCAAGTCTTATATGTTGAATTGAACTATGTGATGTGTTCAAAGCCTCCCAGTCAGTGCTGTTCTCCAGTCTGACTGTACATGATGTCATCAGCACAAACACTTTAAAGGTGACGTTTAGGACTTCAACAATAATACAGACGGCAACGTAGTTAAACATTTACAGTTAGTTTTATTGGGAATTAACTTAAACAACAAACAAACAACAAACAAACATCTGTCTCCTATTTTCTGTCACACAGGAAAGAAGCATCAGTGTCTGATGAGAAGACTTATTTATTTCTTTTTGGGTTTTTTTCAACAGGAGACGAATATCTAACACGTTGATTTGTTCACATCTTAGTTTTTAAGTGAAATGTGCATTTTGAGTTTATACTCTGTATATAAGACCGTTTCCTTTTGCAGTGTTTTTGTGTGGTGTGTTTTTAACAAAAGGGGAACAAAGGTGTTTAAGCTCACCTGGGATGATTCGTTTTAATTTTCACATGGTCTTACTGAGGTGATGTGAACTGAAACATGCATTCTTTTTTTTCTGGCTTGGGGGGGGGGGGCTGTGCAGATCTCCATTCAAACTGAAGTGTGTCAGTGAACATCAGTGAAGTCACACTGTGAGCTGCTCTCAATAAAGCAGACGGCTCTGTGAGCTCTGTGATTAACGCCACATAATTCCAAACATGATGATATTGATTGTGGCTGCCAGTGTTCCTCATCGCTCATTAACACAGATTGTTGGGAGGTTGAACAGTGCACTAGAATAATGACACACTGACAGTTTGTTTATTTCAAAGACACTGATGAACTACTTTAGTCCAAAAGATTATATGTTTGTCAAGTAAACATTAAAGTCCCCAATAATCTTGGTCAATGATCAAAGTTTTTTCTTATCTTTTTGCTACTGATTTGACAATTTTGTTCTTGAACAATGTTTTCAAATTAAAAGCCTCACAATGTGTTTTTACATCCATCTTAAGTTGACAAATTGAGCTGTGTGATATTAAAACCACTCTTAAGCTCAGGGACGAATCACATGCTGATTATCTGCTGTTTGTTGAGTCGACATCAGCTGTAGCCTCGTCTGGGTCAGTGCGCTCGCACAGCTTCACCTCACTCACGCAGACACACACTGAGAAAGTCGAGTAGATCAAGTTTCAGTGCAGTCTGCACAGAGCAGCAGCAGGAGCTCTGATTGGTCAAATGTGGCATATTAGTGGGAGATGAGTATTGTTCCTGGCCTATCAGAGCTCCTGCTCGAAAAACAGAGAAATAAATGAGGTTCTGCTGGAGGTTTGTTTCTGTAAATCACGACCTTGGTGTAGACTTGGCTGTAGCTCAGGGAGAGCCAGTCACCTGCTAATCGGACATTTGGTGGGTCGACCCCAGTTTGTTCGAATATTATCATAACCCCGAGTTGCTGTGATGCCTCCATTGGAGTGTGAATGTTGGACTGAAGGAGCATGGGAAAAAGTGATTGTGTGAATGGATGAATAAAGTTGTAAAAAGCGCTTTGAGTAGAAAAGTCTGTGAAGGTTCTCAGTCATCCAGGTCATCGTAGTCAAAGGAGCTTGCAAAGAAAAGCGTCTGGACTTCTTTAAGTTACTTGAAGACGT